TCTGCTACTTAGCTAAAGTATTATTTTTTAATTATTATTTTATTATTTCTATTGTATTAGTTTTAGTTTCAATTAATTTATTAACTTGCAACAACTACCTTTTGTTGTGTTTCTAGCTGAATTATCTTTTTGTAGAAATATTTTTCCAGACATTGATGGTGTACCATGATCAGATAAACTTTAATACTTTTTTTATTCAGTGAACTAATTAAGCTATGCTTCTTAAGTCTTCATTAGACAAAGTTGGAAAGAGGGACAGGAAGATAAAGGTGAAAGTTTCTCACATGATTCAGAAGAGCTTTGAATTAACACAAGGGAGAACGAGCAGTGAAGAGAATAATGTAAAAGGAGGGGATATTAAAATTTACTTTAGCCATGAAAGTACTCTTGCCATAAACTAGTTGCAGGTTTTTGAGTTTAAGAAGCCATACCATGAGGGCATGAAAAATACTTGAGCACAGGAGTGGAGCTTACCTGGGAGGGAGTCTGCCTGTTTAGTCATGTTTTCCAGAATTTCAGTTGTTCTTTTAGCATTTTTCTGAAACTTTTCCAGTTTTTCTGTAGGATATATTAAGATTAATTCCATGTTTCTGAAACCTGCTGTATATCCCTTATGCTTTCCATGTGTTCTGTGAAGTTGCCATTATACACAAGGATGTGATTTGTATATGGGCATGGTACTTTAACTATAACTTCTGCAATATTTATTTCTACTACTCTTGGAATAGAGCAAATATTTTGATTAAGACTATACAGTTTTAAGCCACTTCAAGCCAATAAGATATACCATATATAGTGAGTAGTTGTGTTCATCCAATGAACCTTGATTTAATAGAAAGTGTCTAACTCATCCAGAGTCTTAAGTCCAAGAAATAAATTATCTTTCTCATGTGGGTTTTCTCATAAATTTCCTCTAATCTATGCATATGCATAGTCCTGGGTAGCACTCCCTCTTTGGACCACTTATTTATGATGTGCAAGAGACTGTTTTTAATTTTGTACTCCACTTCTACTGAAGAGATCTTTTAAAAGTACTTTTACCTCTTTATCTGAGAACAGAAATAGAATGTCTCAGGCAGATTTCTTGTTATATGATTTGAGAGGCATCTGTACATAAGTAAATCCAGTTCATTTCTGATTTCATTTCCTGCAAATGCTTGGGCTCCTGTTTCAGCAACCTGCCTCCGTACATCTAAGTGACTTTGCTTTATTTGGTTTTACCAGAAGTATTTTTCATTTGGATCTCACAGCTCTTTTCCTTGAGTGCCTAACTTGCAGCAGTAGCTCCTTTGGTATCAGCACAGTCTGTTGCCTTATTAAGTATCAGTTTTGTTAATTAAGGACTGTGAAACACAGTGTAGCCAGTGGTTGAGTTTTTGTAGACCTGTGTGTTAGGAAAATGGGGAGATAAATGTGTCGCTAATGAAAATCCATCTTTAGTCTTCACAGAGAGTTTAAGGATTGGAATTGGTGGCTTCAAGCTAGGTGTCTGCTTGGGTTTAAAATGACAAATATTTCATAGCCTTCTTAAGATGGAGTACTGTTTATATCTCTTATCATTTGCTCTTTCCACATAGAATATATTGTTCTTCTCAATTTGGATGGGGGATGTGCAAAAGATTTATCAGACTACTCATGGGATGCCTTTCTAAGTGCTGGAAATAATTACTTTTATACATGAACATTGTTGAAGAGGAGAATTCATTTTGGAAAAAATTAAACTTTGCTGCATTCTAAATTTTTTTTTTTTTTTTTTTTTTGTTCACCTGTTTCTTCCATATCTAAACAGGCAGTTGGTCTTTGGATACTGTACAAGAATCAGTGGGCCAGAGAGAGCAAGTGAGTGGAAACCTGGCTCCATTTTTTTCTGAAATAATTAGCCCAGGTATCTGAAAGGTGAAATCGCCAGTGTTAAGGCACTACTGTATCTTCTTGTATTAATAGTTTTTTTTTCTTTAAAACAAATAACAATAACTCTGAGATCGTGAAACATAATACAGAATTCTTCCCTTCTAGATGTCTGTCCTAACTTTTCAGGTTAACTATAAGTTTGTGGTGTGTATTGTATTTTCTTTGATATAACTATGGAGTTTTCATTCTTTTGCATTCTAGGCAATTTCTCTAATAATTTACTGTGAAGATGAGCACAGTTACTGCTAATTTTGAGTGTCTTTTCAAAGTTGGAGAACTGCCTGCTTTTTTTTTTGTTTTTTCTCCCTCCCCACATGACTTCAGTGTATCCTTTCTCAGCACAGGATTCTGGATTTCAGTTAAGAAACGTCTCAGTCAGAACTGATGCATACTTAGGCTACAGAGCAATGAAAGTTGAGCCACAGATCTTGTCAGGCATTTTGTACTTTATATTCATTGTTAGGCTTAGCTTGATGTGCAGGATCTGGAGCACCATTGTGAGTTGCTTGATGGCTTCATTTTACAGTAAGCTCTTGATCGCATGAAGTTGCCTTTTTTCTAGAAAAAAAAAAATGGTTCTTCATTCCAGGCAACCCTTACTATTTCAATTGAAAAATATCTTTCTTTGGTAGGAGGCATAGATTTTTAACTGCACAGAGGAGGTGGCACACAGTGTACATGATTTCCATTGCTAGTGCTTAAAGAAGTGTGAGAGTGCACATCTAGAGGAGGGACAAGGCAGGAATACCTCTTGGAGCATCAGCAGTCCTGGACTGAATCAGTCATGGTACCTCATGTTGACTCTTCCCAATCTGCTGGGTAGAATAATGCATACATAAATATGGTTTTGAATTCCTAGATGGTATTTTTCCTCTGGTAGCACTTGGTTAGTTAGGTCTGAGTATGTGATGAGGAGTCTGAATGGAACTTTCAAAGTGATCAGAATCACTCAGGAACATATGTCTTACTGATTTTGTTTTTGAGTGTGAAATGGTAGAAAAGTGTCACCCTCTTACAGATCATCATTCCCATTGGAAGTTTGATATTCTGCAATATGAGTTTAAAATGTAGCACAAACTCTTTCCTTACTAGTTCTGTGCTATTATTCTCATAATAAACATGTTTGTTGCAGCTGAGCCATGTCTTTGTAAAATCTGAAAGCCTGCTGGTTGGAAAAGCCATTAAAGAAACAAACACAGATTATCTTCTCTATCTGTTAGAAAGACCAAGAGGGAAGCAAAAAGTATGAGTGGAGTAAAGCAGTAGCAATAAAGTTTTTTTAATTAAATCTAAAATAACATATTTTAAATGTTTCATATCTAGAAATAATGTTTATGGTATGTGAGGAGAAAAGAATTAGCATGAGAGTGTTCACAAATAGCATGGTGTCAAATTTCTGATGTTTTGGTAATTGGGACTTTTAACAGTTTGTGCAATAAACATCAATATGAATCTTAGCATCAGTTGTTGCTGCTTTGTCCCAGAGTGATGAGTTCCTCTTGTCAGTCCCTGCCATTTTGCCCAGAAGGTTGCACCTCCTCAGGACTAAGTGACAACTGTGGCATATCTGTTTTCATGAGGCCCTTTCCAGGGTGGCACATAGTGGTCTCCACAGGCCATGTGCCCTGGAGACATCAGATGTGAGAAGGCTGAACTGAACGTATAAAGGATCCATCATGAAGATTACTTGCAAAGAATTTAAATGAAAGTGAAGGGGGAAGAAAATGTTTTTGCAAGTTAAACAGTTGTGAAAGGAAAATACTACTTATCTACATCTTTTTTCATTCTGCAACAACGGTGATGCAGAGGATTCAACCGCAGTGAATTTACATAACTGTAATTTTGAATGAAACATACACTATGTATCAGGCAAGACTACAGATAGTCTGACATGCATGAAGCCTGACAGACACTAAAATATAGAAAACTGATAACTCCTAGAAGGTTCCCAAATTCAGGGGACTATTATAATTCCAGTACAACATCCTAGACACTAAGGTAGTCTGCAGCAGGTTTTAAAAGACTATTTGTAGGTTGCTTGGAAGAAAAGCTGTTTTCATTTCTCTTTTGTATCTTGCTCTACTGCTCTCTGTAAACCCGAGTTTCAAGGCTGACACAAACCTTACTGTGTTTATATCACTACTCTCTTATTTGTCAGCATGCCTCACTAATACAGCAAAACAGGTAACAGGATGCAGTGTACTTGCTCACACTTAATTGACTGAAGTGAGGAAGTTGCCAAAAAGTCTAAAACTAATTTGATTAAATTATCACGTTTTTTCTTCCTCATAGTCTCCTGAACTAAGGCACTTAAGCCATAGGAAGTTATGGATTTATTGCAGGAGTATGGTGAGAAAGAAGAGGTTTTGTTTCAGGATTTCATAACTGAATGGATTATGAGGTGGGAGGGTGCAGGAGAAGAGCTTAATTTTTGTTCTTTTTCCTTTGTATATGTGCCAAGTTAGTGATAGAGTTCCTTTGGTTCCCATTATATAGTTACCCATTTGTGTCTGCTACTATAGAAGAAGGGGGAAAAAAAAATTGATGAGAAGATGCTAATGAAACTGTCAACTTTGAATTCCTGGAACGCATTTCGAAGTCTTAAAAATGTCAGGTTAACATGTTTATGATCTATGGACAAAATGCAATTTTAGGAGAAAAACATATAAATTATGTAAAGGTTAGAAGGCAACAAATCAGTCTAGAATTTGGGCGACACTTAAATACTGAATTTCTTAATGACCTCTTCTCCTTTGTGCACCATTTCCAACTGGTCCTTCTTGGTTGTACCTAGATTCTCTATACTTGTGGTCTCCTTTGTTACGTTACTTCTATATAGTGATTACCTATGATACACCATTATTATGCAAGGTAATCTGTTGTGAGTTATTCTGGTGGGAAAAGTTTCTGAAAGCAAACTTCTTTGCCTTATCTTCACGCTTCCATCTCCAGCTTCTACTGAAATTTCCTCTGTATTGCATACAAATGTACTTCCATTAATTTTGAGATATCATTAATAGTTTATTTCAATGAAAGTTATTTTAATACCAATATTTTTGGTGGAAAATAATTGTTTCTCTTGCTTTCAGATGGGCACCTTTAAGGCACACGATGGTGAATATTTTTTAGAACCTCTGATGAAAGCAGATGGAGGTGAACATGAAGATGAGCATAACAAACCACATCTTATATACAGGCATGAAGAACTTAAAAAAAACTTTCAGAAATCTGATAAACTGTGTGAAGTTTCAGGTATAGTCATACTTCAGATTTCAATGTCGCTTTTTCAAATGTCAGATGTTAAAACAAGGAAGATTTGTTTTTTGTAAATAATATTTACAAAATTGTAAATATTGTTCTGTCAGAACATATACATTTCTTTCACATAGGCTTTCAACTCCTATTTTCTGCCATTGGCTAAATCAAATGTAGGACAAAATATGCATGTGAAAAAAAAATTATAATATTGCAATAACTTCTCTGAGTTTTCCTTTACACTTACATTGTCCCATTTGTAAACATTTAAAGAGTAAATCCACAAGAATTGTTGCTTTTATTCACAAAAGATAATGAACCTTTTGCGAGTCTAACAGATAACACAGGGCATCTATCTTCCTTAATAACAGAAGTAGCTCATATTACCCTTTAATGTAGATTTTGGTCTCTATGAGTATTTTTAGTAAATTATTCAGACTACATATTCATAATACTTAGTTTTATTTGAAATAATTTACAAGTATACCATGAGGCTATGTGACAAGCGAATGGTTGTACTTTCATAGCTTCACAGTATATAAGTTAATCATTAAGCAAAGTAACTTGAGAGAACATATGCAGTGGAAGTGATTATGAAAGGCAAAAATATTATTATCATGGTGGTATTAATTCCATGAAGCAGTGAGTAGAAAGCAGTGCTTTAAACTGTGTTTTTTGCTGGGGCAGAAAACTTACAGTAGTTATTCATAGTTACATGTGCATCTTCATAGTCAGAAAAAGTATGATGTGAGAAAGGCACCTGCAGCTGCCATCAAAGTACAAAAGCTAGACAAAAGAGCAGCATTAGAAAGGGTTTATTTGAAATTGTAGGTGTCCATAGACTCATTTTAAATGCTGAGATACCATCTGCTTTGAGATGTAGTGTAGAAGCCTTTGAAGATCCTGCCTGAGCAATGTACTTCTTAACCTTTACTATTATAGTATTGCCATTTAAAAAATATTTTTCATTGTGTTGGAAAATTAATTTTGTTTCTTTAAGCCTAGTGACATACATTTTCTTTTGCTTTTGATAGATGCATATAGCCTTTGTTTATTTGGCCTCAAAGAAAACACAAATGAGTGGAGATTCCCAATAGGAGAGGGCAGTTTATATTTGGTTCAGTTTGGCATTTAGAAACATCATTTCTAAAATTCTACACCTTTCATAAGATTAAAATCTGTATTTATGCATTTTGAGTGTACTTGCACTTCAGGAATGTTAAAGCAAGGCTGAGTGCAGAAATACAACTATCCAAAGAAAAGGACAATAATAAAATTTCAGCCTTATTTTCGTAAGGAATATCGGTCCAGGTGTGTGAAAATATAAATTGCAAAAATATGGGTGTAGCTTGGGTGGCTAATGTTTAATTTTGGAAAATCCTTAAAGGCTCCAAGCATTAAGCATATGGTTATTTCCTCCCTTTTCATTTATTGGAGCAACTACAAAAGATTGTAACACAGAGGTTACTGTCATTTTTGGAGGAGTGAAGTGGCAAAATGTTCATGAAGAAAAATCTTGTGCTAGTTTCTGTGCTAAAAATGGTAATTTGCTAAATGTCCTCTTTTAATACCCATCTTGCCTGATTATTCACACTGTTGATTCAAGGAGGAACAGAGTGTATCTAGCAGTACTTGCCATCGGGAGAGTTTCTCTAGTAAGTGGCCATTGACAGAAGACATGGACTGGCATAGCATTCAGTACATCTTTTTCGTTTGAAACTGGACAATAATAATTACTTTTAAAAATGTCTTAATCTTTTTGTTATTTTGTATGGGTTTCTTCTAAACTCACTGATGAAAAATTGACTAGAAACCCTGGTACATGTCTTGCTTAGGTCAGGATAGAACATCTGTTTCCTCTATCCATAAATGCTGTTTCTCATGTACATGGCAATTCATCTAAGTTTGCCATAGTGTTTGACAAACAAAGTAGTTATTCCTCATCCGTTTGTTGATTCTGGTATTTATAAATTAAATTGATTTGTTCTGGTATTGAATTTGTCTCGACTGTTCCAGAAATTTAGGCTGTCTTTGAACTCCCACTTCAAACCCAGGCTGTTTTCCGTTTTGCCAGTACTCTGAAATCTCAGGCACCTTTTGTGATGTAGGGAAGGTGATGTGCATATGAGGTAGCTTCAGCCAGTTCTCTTCAGTCTGACCCATGCAGTATTTGTAGGTACTCATGAACCAGTTCCTTTTCAGAGCTATTCCCTCATAGAATCATAGAATCCTTTAGGTTGGAAGGGACCTTCAGGATCATCCAGTCCAACCATTGAGCCGTTAGGGCTCTAAAGTCCTCTGCTAAAACAGATCAGAATCTGTCAGGGTTGGAAGGGACCACAAGGATCACCCAGTTCCAACCCCTCTGCCATGAGCAGGGATGTTCTCCCCTCATTGTTAGTGCTAATAGTTTTTGCAATTACTATAGCTATATTTTGTGGCTAGCGTTTAGACCATTACTCAGCAAACTTTAAGGTGCTTGCTGCTGTCCCTTTGGTTTTGTTTTCTGGCTGCATTATGCCCTAACTTTAAAGAGGACAGGCTATGGACCTGTCAAAAGCAGCTTAAAGTTTCTCGCTGAGGGCTTTTCCCTTGAAACATGGAATGCATAGATTTCAATCCTCTCAAGTTGAGAGTGGCAGAGTTGGGATCTCTGAATTCTTGAGTCAGTGCTGTAGTCATTAGAGCATTAGAATAAAAGGATTAGGAGATGTATCCTTTGGCAGCAGCTACTTTTTAAGAGGAAAACTATCTTCAAGAAAGACAATAGAGGTTTGTTCTGAGGGGGCTGAAGGGTCTAGTTAAGTGCTTAAGTTCTGAAAAGTAGTGAGAATTCAGATGTTTCTCAGTTCAGTATTTTTGTGGGCTATTGCTAAGATGATTCCCTGATCAATGTATGGATCTTATGTATCAGGCATCAGAAGCCTCTGGTGGCTGGAGCATGCGGTGTAATTGAAGTATTACAGTACTTAGTTTGGAGATATCTGTGTAGGTTCTCTTTCCTTTTGAACCTGATCATACATAATGAATATTAACAAAGCTGTCAAGGAAGTCACTGAAGGCTTTTGATGTGAACTTGCTTATAAAGTAAACTCCGTATTCATGTAAAGTTATATAAATTAAAAAGTCAGTAGGAACTTGAATTCAGGACTAGGCCTAATCTTTGTTTTATTTTGATTCTATTGGTGTCAAAGGTTTGTGTTTAAAAATACATTTTGTTTAACTTGCTTCCTTTGTTGCTCTGCTTAAGATGTAGTGCTGTTCTCCTTCCAGCCTGCCTATTTGGATTATACTGCATTCTGGGAACTGTATATTACTGCTATCTCTTAAATAGCTTTTAACAATTAATCTGTATGTGATAGAACTATATGATAATGTACAAGATGTGTAATCTGATCTTCCTATTACAGCTTTCCAAGTTTAATATTATTTTTTTTAATTCTTGCCCTGGGTCTCTTGGAAATAAGATCATAAATCATAAAGATAAGCACTTTGTCTAGGTGTTCAGATCATATTTGTCTTTGGGCAGCCTTTTGCCCTCTTCTCTTTTTAAATTTAGAAAATGGAATCAACAGTGTATCTTTTTTTACTTTACAGATAAAGAGGTGAAGAGCACTTTACTACACCCAGTCTTCAGCAGTTTAAATCAAGAGAGCAATGTTTTACAGAAGTCTCCCAGTTTAAAGTACGCTTTAAATAACTTGTCTACAGAGGATGCTGGCAATCCACATTCCAGGAAAAAACGTTTTCTTTCCTATCCAAGATATGTAGAAGTGATGGTTACAGCTGACAACAAAATGGTTCGTCACCATGGGCAGAATTTGCAGCACTACATATTAACACTGATGTCAATAGTAAGTAAACTTAAGTATTAGCAATTCCAGTTATTTGGGTTTTTTTGTTTGTTTTTTTTTTTTTTTTCCTGTAACTTTACTATCTTCTGGTTTTATTATATTCTGTATTTAAGAAATTCCATAAACATAAAAAAAAAAAAAGTAAGGACAAAACTTCAGATTAGGGCTTTTTTTCAGTTGAATGCAGTAAGGTGTGTAGGTGAAATGCTGCGACCTATTTCCTGATTTCTGTTGCATTAGAATTCTTAAACTTCAGTGAGTTAACCATATCGATTTATTACAGCAGACAGAGGTTAAAAGCATTAGGAAAAAATGCTTGGTTATAGTAATCCTAGTTTGTCAAGTAATTTCAAATAATATGGGTCAGAGTTTGAGTTGGTGTCATTTAGTTGACCTCTTTCTGTGGTGAATTCTTGCTTGAACCAAAAGTCACTTCTTGTATTGATTCAAGATGTAGTGCAATTAGCACTATAAAATCAAAAGGTTTACCATGACATCTGTTGGACCATTTTTTAGGAAAAGGCATGCTGAAATATTCTGCATAGTAATTATTTCTAAATTTCTGTCCTTCCATCTATTCACAAAACCTAGGTTACATGAAACGGCATCTAACTTTGTGCTTGGAAATTTAGACACTTACATTCAGGTATTTATGGAGGCATCTGCTTTAAATAACAGACAGTTACAGACAGCTACTTTTGGATGAACAGAATAACTCCAGCTTCCACTGGGATCTATTAATTTGCTTCATAGAAGTGTCCAGTGCTGTTTAAGATGCCATAGGGCATCTGACTTGGCCTCAGCTGCTCTGTCACAAAGGTGTGCAAGTTGGTAGGTCATGTATCATATCTGCCAGTTCTATATAGGTTTCTGATAACCTATAGCATCTGAAGTGACACTGGATAATGTGTAGTTAGGCAACTGAACTGTGTTCTGCTTGCTCTATTGTCTAGCTCTCCATCTGATGGCAGTGGAGGTGCTGTCACCTGTTACACAAATGTAGACACCTAAATTTAGAAGATGGAATTTTCTTTAGTTTATCAGAAAAGTAATGACATTTTAAGGAAGATTAGCATACTTTAATTTGGTAAAGTCTTGTTTTTTTTTTTTTTCTTGATGGCAGTGGTGTGAAGGTCTGAAGGTTAGTGCATTAAAAAAAAATCATTATTGAAAGGTGGATTTTTTTCTTTAACTTACAGTACAGACTCAGTTTGCAATGCTTTTAGAAACAACTGATCCAAAAGGTGCCATTTTTTATGAAGTTACTTTTTAATACGGAGCTGTAATAAGAACCAAAGTGAAGTGGTCAAAGCACTATTTTAAAATGGAAGCTGTTTTTTACAGACTTTACAAAAAGATCAAATGGAACATTTATTGTGTAGTTTTCATGAGGTGGTGTTCTAATTATAGCTTATGTAATTCCTGATGTTCTTTAAGAACAAACATTGTTCCTGCATTTGTAGATGTTTTACATTCAACCACTGTTCCTTACAGTGCAATGTTTCTTGTCTTTTTATTTACATAATTAATAGGATATGCATTGTGTAATTGCTGCTAAAGGGAGTCTCCATGTAGACATGTATAAGTGAAAGAACACTAGTTCTTTGCTTAAAAGCTTGTGATCTCATTCTTGAGCTTACCTATCTATACTGTAAAACTAGAGCTTAGCACAGTTACTGCTGGCTTTGAGGTAATGGCATACAATAAACCACTACATCTTTAATATGAATTTAATATCTTTGAATACCACAGTATATAGATGTATAGCTGGCATCTTCTGGCAGCTCTTATTCCACACTTGCATCTGCTGCTTCTGAGGATAATCTTGAGATATGTTGAAGACATTATTTCTAGAAATGTTTTTTTTTATAAATGCAGATTTTTTTTAAAAAATGTAAAATAAGATCTTAATTCTAACAGAGTTTCTTCACAGTCCAGTTAATTTTCTTCCCACCCTGACAAGAATACATATCTCAGCTCATACCCCTTTTCCTTGAAGCATTTCTGTGATGTCGTAGGACCACAGAATTATTAAAGTTGTAAGGGACCTTTGGAAATCATCTGGTCCAACCCTCTACTCACATGTATTGCTCTGTCAAACAAATAAAATAATGGGTATGAAGATTCATTGCTCAGTCTTTTCCCTTCCTTCTACTTTCCCACAATAGTTATTTTTCAGTAAGGTAGTAGTAAATACAAAGAATAAGAAAATGACCTACCGCTCTCTTGCTATGTAATCTGTATTAGAATTCATCAGTGTGCTTGACCCACAGTTTATAAGTGTTTGAAATACAGCCGTTCTTAGTCTTATTAAATTACCCATAAAGGGAAGAAATAAAACTAATAAACTTCTTCCTTGCTGCCATTATACACATAGCTTTGATTATTACATTTAAATGGTACTTGTGTCTCGTCAAGCAACTTCTGTTATGAGAAATTGTCAGGTTACTGGCATTTTAAATGAATCAAGCATTATACTCCACTCATAATCATTCTGAACATTTTAAGGATATTTAGTTTTGGCTTGAATTTGAAAGAAACCTAAAAAACTTAATCGTATAAATCCCATTAAATTGTAATGAAACTTAGACATCTAGCTCCCACAAGAACCTTTGAAATCTTGCCCCATTTTTCTTTTCTTATTTTTTTTTTTTTTTTCTTGGCAGCAACAAAGCCACCAAAGCAAACCTGCTGCTATAGGGTACTGTTTTATGAGTGGAAAATAAGAACTGAAATATAGTACTAAATATTTTAGGGTTTTAAGTGTCTTGCCACTCATCCAATTCAAACTGAAAAGCTTAACTCTCAGCATGCAAGTAATCCCATTGAACTGGAACTGGAATGCATTTTCTCATTTCTTTAAAATTGCATAAATCTTGGCAAGATGAGTATTCAAAGTATTTACACTGTCTTGGAAATACTAGTTCTGATTGAAATATGTATTTAAAAGTAGCAGAAATACCTCTGCTGTAGGACTTTATAAAAACTTTTGTATTGAAACACAGTAAAGATGGGTATTGCTTATTGTGAAATAATAAAATAATATAGAAATCTGATTGCTTAATGTACTGTGTTCTTTCTTGTTCCTCCAAGGGTTGCATCAGCTTGCCTAGAGCAGGCAGTAAATGCCTGAATAGATTTAGTAGCTGGAGGACTATCTTAAGCACATTATGCTGTGACAGTTCGAAGTCCCTAACACAAAGGCTTGACCTTAGCAACTGAAATAACTCATTATGATGCTGGAGTTTACTGTAAAAGCACCAAAACCTCATCAAATCTGGTTCTATTATACATTTTGAGGTACAGTCCGTATTTTCTGAAATGGACACCTGATTATTGACATCTTTTGAAGAAATGGACGACTTACCTAGTTAGTTTGGTAGCAAAACCCTTCATAGTCTGTTCTTAGTCTGCTTGCAGCAAGAGCTTTGTAATCTTGCCTTTCTGAAAAGAAAACCTGACATATAAAACCACCTGTGGTAGGGCTATATTGGCCAGCTCAGACCTGAACTTGGCTGGCTGCCTTGTCTTGTGAGTAATACAGTTGGAGCACGGGAGGAGGGCAGCCATGCATTCAGCGAGAGGGTTGGGACAGCATCAGTTTGTATCATTTAACTTGCCGTGAGACCGTGGAATCACTAAATAGCATGGTTATAACAGTACTATTTTACCATGGTAACATGGTTTTAAAAGCTGGGGGTTTTAATTTTTGTCAAGACAGGTTCCTAACTTGGGCTGCACATGAATGACTCTGATTCTTCAAATCAGAGAAAGATTGCTTCGTTCTTTGTGTAGACTTTCATGTCTCTGCAAATCAAGCTGGCAATGAAGTACCTGGAAATAGTTACAGTCCTTTTAGTGATGTTTTGTGACTACTGTAATTCTCTGAAATGTAAAATGTAAGACAGTGAGTAACAGGTCTTGTTAGAAGAAAAACTTTCTAGTTATTGTCTTGCTTATACTTTTTTTTTTTTTCCCATTTCGGCAGCTAAACATCAACAATGATTGTGAAATATTTTCTGTGTGGAAAGATCCCATGTACTATCCTGAAAAAAACAGCCAAAGAGTTTTGTCCCAACGTATATGGGATGAATTTAAAGCATGTTTTTATACTTTCTTAGCAGTTCATACCATACAACTGTTAACAGTTCATCTTCCATAACACTTTGGGAAAACAGATGCGTGCTAGCATTTAAGAGTGTTTGATATGCTGATTCTGCCAGGTAGTCATCATTTAAGAACAGGCCGTAGGCTTGAACATTTGTATGTTAATAATTTCATTTGTATGACTAGCATCTTAAAGGCAATAAATATTTTAAATGCAAAATCTGGTGATGAGTGTATTCCTCCTTGTGTCTACTCCTTAGACTACCAAGCTTGTATTTTACCCCTGTTTCACTTAGATCAGTGTATTACTTCTAATGCTGCAGGAACGTTCAGTGCTTTTCATCTCTCATCCAGTGAAATCTAGAGAGGCAGCACAAAGGCATTTGTTTCTTGCTTAAGCTCTATACCTTATCACATTTCTTTTTCTGTATATATAAAATCACGTGATCATGTGCACTTGGATGTGGTTAAAATGAAAATGTATTTTTGATTATACACCAGTGAGTATACATAGCTGGAAACAATTATTTGTACAAAATTCTGAGCTAAACTTGTTACTTATCTTGATGTATGGATATCTATATGGGTATTTAAAAAAAGCCCTACTATTTTAAAAAATGTGACTGCCCTCGTATTCCAGCTCCAGGATGCCTGTATACTAAAGGTCATAATGCCTCATACCTCGCTACACCTTGAAGTCCGCCAGCTAATATAGAGGTATTAGAGCCAGCAGTGGCCAGAAGGCCAAGAAGGCCAGCAGCATCCTGACTTGTATTAGGAATAGTGTGGCTAGCAGGACTAGGGAAGAGATCATACTCAGCATTGGTGAGGCTGCACCTTGAATACTGTGTTCAGTTTTGGGCCCCTCACTACCTGAAGGACATTGAGGTGCTGAAGCATGTCCAAAGAAGAGCAACAAAGCTGGTGAAGGGCCTAGAGCACAAGTCCTACGAGAAGTGGCTAAGGGAACTAGGGTTGTTTAGTCTGCAGAAAGGGAGGCTGAGTGGTGACCTTATTGCTCTCTACAACTACCTGAAAGGAGGCTGTAGCATGGTGGGTGTTGGTCTCTTTCTTCCACAGTAGCAAGCAATAGGATGAGAGGAAATAGCCTCAAGTTGTAGCAGAGGAGGATTACATTGGACTTTATGAAAAATTTCTTCACTGAAAAGGTTGTCAAGCACTGGAACAGGCTGTCCAGGGAAGTGGTTGAGACACCTTTTCTGGAAATATTTAGAGGAAATTTAGATATGGGGCTTAGGTATATGGTTTAGTGGGAGACTTGGCAGTCTTAAGTTAGCAGTTGAACTTGATCTTAAAGGTCTTTTCCAACCTAAATAATTTTATGGAACTTTACACTATGTAGACAGGCATAAACTTGCCCATCTTTTAAACTTCACTGCTATTAGTGCTATTTACTGATGTTGCTATCTAGGTGGTGGTATATTTAATGATTAGACTAATACTCGTCTCTATGACTTTCTCCACAGTAGTAGAGGGTTCAAGGTCTGTCTTTACAGTGAAGCCTTGGTACTTGTTTAATTACATCAAAGGTCTTGCTCTAAGCTGCCTGGGACCTGCCAGGAGTTTTGTCAAGCAACATTCACATGTCATTATTGGAGTAGCTTCCAGTGGCTAGAGAAGCCTGGCTATGGTTGTGCCTTGTGAAGTGGTCTTTACAGGTAGTTTCTTTCAGATACACAAAGGAAGGATGATTTGACGTCTGAGCTGTACGTGATGGCATTTGAAGTAATCTGATTATAGCCTCAATGCATATTTTTATTAGAAGGCTGTAAAGGATGATGACTAAGTCACCATTTACTTAATTATCGCAGTATTAAAGAGAGATCTTTGCAACCATCTCAATCCCAAGTTAGAGATAAGACAGAGCACAGGCATTCGTGGAGAGGTGACTCAGCCTTTAGAAGCACTGTATTCTTTCTTTTAGCCCCCACCCCAGTAGAGCACAAGGGGTCATCTGGAACCTCTACTTGGTTAGCTTAGGAGATGGTAGATTGAAGAGAACTTGGATGAAGGGACAGGAGGTGACCTAAAACTCATAGGGGGTAAAAACTGCTAACTCCAGGGTATGTAGGTACACTTGTGCAAGTTTGCATGAGAATTCTTTGCTGGCATTAGGTTCAACTGGTGAAAGCATGGGTTTGTACAGAAATTTGGGTGGAACAGAAGAGTGACATCAGTGGAAATAGCACAGCTCTTTCTCGTTCTTGCAGTGAAGCAATAAAAGCTGATGACTTTTATCTCATGGCTTCAGACATTTCCAAGGTCTTAGAAAATATATGGCAGAATCGGGATATGACAGTGGAAGAGGTGAAGGAGAAATCTCCCAGATCATGGATATCTTACATCCTTTCAGCACTACGGTGATAAATAAGACACTGTTGGAGTCTTTGAAAGGCATGTGAGCTAAGAAGTGAGACCATGTTTCTTTCAAATGATAGGAGTGTTTGTGTTCTCCTGGTACACTCGTTGTGAGTAACAGACAACAGGACAGAAAAAGAGATCTTGTGATACAATGTTTAGGGAAAAAAAAGCTGAGGAAGTCCAATTCAATTTGAATGTATCATTTCCTTATCTTCCAGCCGATAGAAGTGCTTTCTTGTTTACTAGCACCTTTTCCAAATAGGGCATTTTGCTACAATTCACAGTCCCAGTTTAATGGACAGTTGTAACAGGGGGATCAAGAGAAACTAAACCTTGTTGTGACCAAATTGCTTCCAGTCACCTGACAGCCACAGGTCTGATGATGACAAGATCTGGCTTAGTCTTTGAGAATTTCATGAAAACAAAACTGTGATCCTTCCACTGAAGGGTAACCATCATCTTTTTTTTTTTTTTTTTCCTCTTTGTTGCTGTGTGCTCTGAACTGTTCTGTTGTGTGGTTGCTGGTTTTGTCTGAAGAATTCTTGAAATTAATTTCTCTGTTTCTTGGCTATTACCTTCTACTTCTGTGAAGCCTGGGTTTAGATCACTGTGAAGCAAGTAGATCTGGAAATTGTAAAGCAACGGTGTAGTCTATCAAATTCCTATCTCATTTCATCATTGTTTTTCATGAATGCTTACAGTAATAGAGCAGGGACCTGAGAATACAGGAGCAGGGAGTACTTATCCCTTCTTTTTTTTTTTTTTACTGAAAATAAGATTTTCACATTTCAGGTCTTTGCTAGTTTCCTGCATTGATCTACCATTTCAAGTCTCAGTTGATGATTTTAGTGTATACACTTCCTTAGGTAAATCTTCAAGTTTGGTTTGTGGTTTTCTACTCTCAAGGTTTTTCTCTTCACCTATGTGTTCAGCAAGCCTGCAGAGGATACCTTACTTCATTGGTAAGGGCATCTCATCAGCACAGAGTTTGCTGTTTGATATTTGAAAGCAGCGGTAATAACTAGATGTTGGGATGTCATGGAAGTGCCCATGATTCGAAGGATCCATACTTTGAATCAAACATAGGTTAGTCTCCCTTATAGCCATCCCATCTCCCTACATAGTAAGGGACTGAGGAAATGAAATGACAATTTGTTCAGAAACATACCTTCACTCTTTGTGATAGAATATCCTTCCTAGGTTTATCAAAGTACTTCTCAAACTGTAAGAATACATTACAAGATTAATAGTTTGTGGTCGTTTAAAAGTAGTTTTGATAGTATCGAAATGGTTGTTTATTCCATTCAAATTCATATAACACCTTCTGCCTAACTAGTGCTTCAGCCTTTACAGTCACCTTTTCTTTGATAAAGGTGTTCTGAATGTGTCTGTGCCTAATTGAACTTCTCAGTGAGTGCTTGAGAGATGCTCCTTATTCCCACCTCAGAATAACTGGAGACTTGCTGGTTAGTAACCAAGAGTGGAGTGCATAAGGAAGGAAGGAAGCAGACAATAGCTGTGCTGCTCTGAAATGTGTTCTCCACATGGATTCCAAAACA